CATTCAACAAACGCATATTAGACATATCATTATAGAGGTATTTGTATTTGTTTTAGAGCTTTGTGAATCTCTCTCTCTCTCTCTCAGACTAGCCGTTAAAGCTGTTAGAGCGGCCCTTTTGTATAGTGAACTTATTTAATCGCATTTAACTTATGTATCCTAGCTTAGTTATATAAATAAATGCTTGTTTAGTTTGTTAAACCTGTCTCCTGTCTCTAAAGGACACCTGCCAACTTACCAATGCAGTCCCCACTCATTTTTTGCCCTCCTAGCCATCCTACGACCGCGGGATCGGGTTTTACCAACCTTGTGCAGCGTAAGTGGTCAGAAGGGATTAACCCCTGTGGCCCTCTGCTAATCTCACATTAGTGAATCAAAAGTTAGTCCTGAAGTGACAGATATTTGTACCACCACTCTTAAGACATGTTCACTCAACAAGAGCAATGAAAGAAAAAGCAATGAAATGACAAAATTCAGGTTTTACAAGATTGAAATGCTCACCAATGCCACAAGGAACTGCAAGAAGCACTTGGTAATCATGCATGCCCTACCATATTGTATGAGTAGAGGCCTTCCGACATGGACAAGAAGCAACCACACTTGAGCACAGAACAGATGGAACAGATGCAAAGCATGTTAAAGTCTTTAGGAACTTACTGAAGAAAGACTGTCAATGGACATGCAGAGTTGTAAAGTTAATGTAGTGCCTTCAATTGTGTTCAATATCCTAATTAAGAAAATTTCCTATTCTTTCTTTTGGTGCCTATCACTATATATGTGTGATGTTAGTAATCACCGTGGAGTATTTTTCATTAACTAACCTAATATTTAGTATAAGCCAGACAATCTGCTGCATTTTTAATAACTAAATTACTTTATATCTATATGAAGGAAATATATGAGTACTATCAGCATTAAACTTGAGAAAAATTAAATACATGTTGTATATTTAATGTTTCTAAGTAAACAAATTTAATCAAATGACAGTATATTATTTCTTTCTTATTCTATATTTGGCATTATATGTGAGTATATTCTTTTCAACTATGGATATTTTATATCCAGTTATTAAAATTAGTCATATTATAGTCCGAAAAATCCATTCAGATTGTCTGAAATATTTTTTTTATTGTAGGCCATTTGGAATAAGGAGAGTCTAGAAAGTCCAGTCTAGGTCAAAATGTTGTCCATCTAGATAGTCCTCCTTCTATTTCTTTCTCCTTTGCCTTCAACATTTCCATTAATTATTACTTGAAGAAAATTATATTCTTCATGTCAGATAATGTGACAAAGATATACTATCTTTCTTTGTTTATGGTTTTTTATAAGCTCTATATCTATATGGATTCTTCTCAGAATCTCAATTTGATACTTTTTGCATCCAGAATATTTTCAGCATTCTTCTATAGGCAGTGGCGTACCGTGGGTGTCAGCCGCTCGGGGCAGAGGAAAATTTCACCCCCCTTATTTAGGTATTTCAATTTAAAAGACCAAAATTCAGTTTTGTCACAGAACAAGCAATGAAAAATTTGTTGGTAGTGCAGCGACCTGTTTAAAATAGTTCTATTGGATATTAGTGGTGTATATGAATGGGAATGAATCGTACAAGCAAAAAAAAAAAGGTCAACAGATTTCGCAGGATTTCCTTGGATGAAGAAATTACTGGTTTACCCGGACGGCGAGCCGATTCCCGGACTGTCCGGACAATAGCACTTTCGTAGGCGTGATGCAACTATAGATTAGGATGTTTCAAATTTTTACAAGATATTATTTATTGTGAAATTTTGCCGCCCCCTAAAAAGTGCCGCCCAGGGCGAGCCGCCCCTGCCGCCCCCACTATGGTATGCCACTGTAGGTCTATATTTCAAAAGATTTAAACCTATTCATATCTTTTTGCTTGTGTGTCCTTGCTTCACAATCATATATAAGAATACGTCAAATATAGCATATCAGTCATCAAACTCAGTTTTAAAATGCATAGTAAAGTTTGCATTTTCCTAAAACTGATTCTCACTGTTTCTGTTCTGCATCTTATTTCTTGTGAACTGTTCCATTCTCTGTTTATCTTAGTGCCCAAATACATACATTGTTTAATATTTTCCAATTTCCTCTGAATCAAGATATATTTTTAAATTTGTCTTCGCATTTGATTTTTGAAAAGCTTAGCTTCTTAGTTTTCTTTGGATTGATCTTTACTTCATATTTATTGCAAATTGAGTTTAGCTTTCTAATCATATTTTGTAGACTTTCTTTTGAATTTGCAAGTATTGTATCATCTGCATATCTAATATTATTAAGATTTATATTGTTAATTTTGGTTACTTTTATTTTATCAAGTGCTTCTTTAATTATTTCTTCAGAATATACATTGAAGAGCAAAGAAAAGAATATGCAGTCCTCTCTTATGCCTTTTTTTATTTTAATTTCATTTGTGAATTCTCCATCTACTTTCATAAGTTCTATCTGGTTCTAGTGTAAATTTCTAATTATTTTAATTGTTTTCATATTTAATGCAATTTTATGAAAAATTTCTATTTAATTTTTGGTGGTTAACATTGTCAAAGACTTTTGTGCGATGTAAGATTTTATGTAACGGGTTGTAACGCAATAAAATCTGTACAAACAACATTCTACTCAAAATGACACTGGAATATTAACAAGTAACTAACATACAACTTGTGATGTCAGCCGAGGAGTGTACTCCCGACAAACACTCAAGCGTGTTACAATAAAAATAAAAAAAAATCTTAAAAACACATACAAAATATTTTAAGCAAAACTGACTGCTTAATCTGTCGGTTTTGCTTAAAATATGGACAAGAAAAATGGACTAAATACTTGAAACTAATTATTAATACTAATCTTAATTCTAACATGCAAGAGGATTTTGACCAATAGAGGGTGAAATTTAGGGAGAGAAAAACAAGTGATCAGAAACAAAGGGGTACCCAAGTCTTTCATTGGATCAAGTCCTTTTTAAACAAAAATGGGAGCACATGTTCTGAAACTTTTCCTTTGATAAAAAGCCAAAATGGGGAGTCTTCTTCTCTCAAAAGAATTTCCAAATATCCACAATATTGTACCTAGGTTCAGTCTTCTTGGCTTCCCAGACCTTAACGATCCTTGGCCATACAATCGTAACCTTCCTGCTACTCAGGACCAACATCCTCTCTTTCCAGTTCCTATTTAAAAAGTGTCTCCTTGAGGTTTCTTCACACCTTTTAAGTCAACCAAAGAACCGGTTGGGACCAGTTCTTACTTGGACAAAAGAGAGCTTCACCCAGAATTGGAGTGGACCCTTATTGGCAAAGAAGAAAGACAGCTTCAAGACAGAAGGAAACAAAAAAAGATAAGGGGAAAGAAAAATTAATATTAGCACATATAAATTATGGCATACAGCCACACTTTATCATATTAAATGGATAAAGTGTGGCATACAGCCACACTTTATCCATTAAATATATATAAATATCCTGCTGCATTTCTAAACACTTTTGTGTCAAAATATTCAAAGGTCAAAATGCTTCTCTTGTACATTTAGTTTTTCTAAAGCTAAACTGTGAAACTGAAGACTATGAAGCTAACAAAGAAACTGGGTATGTGAAAAATCATGGTAAAGTAAATGCCACACTCTCTTTTTGAAATGCAAAAGTGACAACAGATGGAAACTCCATTACATCTTGAACATTATGGGCTTGAGAGAGAGCAGTTTTTCACAGAATAATTTCACTTGATAAAACACAGGGCAGATAATATGAACCTAAGGCAAACAAGTAAATGGCGACATTCATCATTACCATGTTCTAGAAAACAGTGACAAGAATCTGGAAATTTGAAGGTAATAATATTGTTTACAACTTTGAAAGAGTTTTTGGCATATGCTGTATTAAAAGGATAGACAATAAATTCTGCTTATTACTCTAATTTGACAGAAGATGCTTCAGTTGCTGCAGTTGTATCCCAAAGCCATCACCGTAGAAGAAATATGACATCAAGCAATTGTCATATTTCTTCTACAGTGATGGCTTTGCTGGGACAGTGGCACTGGGAAATCTTGGAGCACCTGCCATATTTGCTGGGCATGAGCTCTTGTGGTTTCAACTTGTTCCAAAAACTAAAAGAAATGCTCAGAGACCAGTGCTTTCAAATGGTTTACAGCATCACTTATATGGAATAAGGATACCTGAGTAATTTCAACCCTTCTAGTGTTAATTTTACATTTTTATTTAACATTTAACAGAACATACTTGTACTCAGATTATCAAAACACACCTTATGTTGATGAGATAATTTATTGAAAACAAACGAACTCAGGTGACCAGACGATTGGAACATCAGCGTTCCGAAAATAGAATCTTTACATTTTTATTCCTTTAACACAGAAGCGTGGATCTCTCATCATATATTTTTAAGAACAACAGTAATCATTAATATTATATATTTTTTATTATTAAATTTAGACAGTTTAATGTACTGTACAGTACAATACTCATCCAAACTCTCACTGTAATTAATCAGGCTACTATTATGCTATAATTAATAATTAAAAACTAGGTAATTTGGTACTAGAAGTATGTTTTAAATTATTATAATTATTAATTTAGATAAGAGATGGTGCCTAATGTCTACCTTTGGTAATAAATTACTTAGTTTCTAATTATTAATTATAGCACAATAATAGCCTGATTAATTACAGTACAATTTCAAAAAAATGATGAGAATGTAATATCTTCGTATCTTGACAGAGTTAAGCCTATATTTTTGGAAATATTACATTGTCTTTTCTGTCTGCATGTTCAAATTAAACAATAAAAACTAACAGAAATAATAGATTTTGCGTAAATTACAGCAATTTCAAGTATTTTTCTGTTTCTTTCATTCTATACAATAGTTGTGTTCTGTATAATAAATTATTATGCTTAGAAATAAAAATAGAATACTGTTTAAAATTTGTAAATGTACAGTACAATATTAAAACATTTTATGATTTTGTATTACAGGGAAAGTTAGTAAAAGGTATGGGAGGAGCTATGGACTTAGTGTCTAGTTCTTCAGCGGGAACTCGAGTCATTGTTACAATGGAACATACTGCAAAAGGAGGTACACCAAAAATTCTCCCTACATGTAATTTACCATTGACTGGGAAAAATTGTGTTGATCTCATAATAACAGAAAAGGTTTGTTGTTATTTTGAAATCTATAATTTTTTTTTTTATATTTAATATCTTATTAATAGTTCATTCTGTAGTATCTTTAGAAAATTAAAATAGTTAAATATTTTTTTCTTATTTATTTTTATAAATTTCAATCAGTTTTTTATTTTATTTTTTTATTTATGATATAAATCTTGTCTTCTTCATTTAGTAAATCTTGTTTTATTCATTGTTGGTTACCAGTAACCAACAATGAATTAAGTTCTTGTTTTCTAAGATATATTTAAATAAGAATAAGTCCAAAATATTTATTTAAATAAATAAATGTCTTTTTTTTTAAGTTCTAAGTTATTCAGAAATTTTACCTTCTAAATAGTTTGCTGAGAGTTACATAGAGAGAACTGAATTACTAAAAACTTGTCAGTTTTACTATACAAGTTGAAATATAAATGATATTAATTAAAGCATGGATTGAATGAACAAGAGAAAATTAAAGGTAAAACGTGTGTCTTGTAGTTTCTGGAAAAATCATGACGACAGATAATGCCTGCAGGATTTTTTACATTTTCTAAAGGATTTAATTAAGGATTTTTCACATTTTCTAAATGTGATTTTAGTGTATTTAGACAAAGGAAAAGCTGTTTAATGAGTTCATAATTTTGCATTAAAACCAGCAGATAATCCATATCATTGCATAACCAGCACATGCTTTTATGTTGACTTCTAAAATGCAGATAACCTGCAGGTTATCCACACAAAATTACAATGATTTGGACTAAAGGAGGTGATTAGGTCATTATTCTGTGCTAATAATAATTACTTTAATTTTAGAATTTGGGACTAAAATCCACAAATTCTGCTTACTGTACAGATTTGTTATCCATTACACTAACCAGACTTTTATTTGATTTTCACTTTAAAACTTATTACTGTAATTTCAATCATATAACTATAGAGATTAACATTATTATAGGATGGCAACCTAACTGCTTGCCTTCAGTTCAAATTGTTCGGTTTTAATGATTACAGTATAGCCAAAATAGAAAAATCTAGGTTTTTTTTTCTATTAAGATAATACAGAAAATAAATGTTTGTGTAACAACAACCAAGCCCAAATTTTTTATAACCAAATAATTCAAAGCTGGATTTTTTCAAGCTAAAGAAATCCAGGTTTTAATTATTTGCTTATAAAGATCAGGCTTGTGTGTTGTAATGCATATGTTACAGACTAAGTGATTGATAACAGGCATTATAAATAATGACAAACAAAATCAGGCATTGTAATAAATTCCAGGTGAGTTGCGCATGCATATTTCATTTAGTATCAGATTTTAAATTTATGTGACCAATAGTTAATCTTGTGTGACATTTTAATTTTACTTTTGTCTCTTAATATAGTGTTTTTTTCTTTGAAAAAAGTAATGATCATGGAGCAATCATTAAGTGATATGAATAATCACTTTAACAACCGATTAAACAAGTTAATAGCAGAAAAAGGTTAGAACAATCAAATTTTTACAAAATCAACATATTTGTCAATGATACAAAAAGTGAAAGAGTAAAAAATGAAAGTTACTTTTAAGTTACCGGAAGAATATCAGTGTTTATGTAGATGTGATGTTGTATCTATCGGAGAAATAGAAAAATTAATTGTACCTGTAAAAGAAGGTAATTTGTTTAAATATTATGTTCACACTGAAGAAATATTTCAGATATTGCATAATACCCATATTGGTATTGGCCACGGCGATATAAATCATATGGGAAAAGAATTAAGTGCAAAATATAAAAATATTACAAGGGAGTTTAATCAGTTGTTGAAGGGATTATTCATATCATTTAATGATTGCTTCATGATCATAATTTATTCGAACTTATATGAAATCTGTCATAAAAAGCAGAATGTTCCTAAGAAAGGCTTGGTAGTTAAACCAGTTTTATGTAATGAAATGAACTTGAGATGTCAGGTTGATCTTATTGATATGCAGTCGCAAGCCAATGAGCAATATAAATTTATACTCATGTATCAAGACCATCTAACTAAATTCGCTCAATTATGACCATTAAAAACCAAAAGGGCTGAAGATGTAAAATATGTTCTTTTAGACACTTTTACAATTTTAGGTGCACCGAGTATTCTATAAAGCGATAATGGCAGAGAATTCACCAATAATGTCATCAAAGAAATGTGTAATATGTGGCCTGAGTTAAAAATGATGCATGGAAAGCCCAGACACTCACAAAGTCAGGGTTCAGTAGAAAGATGTAATCAAGACAGAAAATATGCTTAGTCCTTGGTTGAAGACTAACAATACTCGGAAGGATTACGTTTTGTACAACTAATGAAAAATTGAGCACATTATACTGGTATAAACTGAGGTCCCTATGAGGCCATGTTTGGAGCAAAGTTAAAAGTTGGACTAAAGAATTATTATACTCAACGAATCATTGATCAATGTTAATACGGAGGAAGGTCTAGCAACACTTTTTAAAACTATTGACGAAGTAAGTCAAAGTTGCTCAAACTCTGAAAGATCAGGTACCATCCAAGAAAACATTATAAAAGATTATTTGATAATGCCATCCTCACATAGCAATATAACTGATGAAGTTCAAAGATCTACTTCGTCTTCACATGAAAAATATCTAAACCAGGATGTTGTTAGTATTAGAGTTGGTGAATGATGACGAAAAAATCCAAACAGTTGATCCAAAAATAGTAGAAAAAAATAAGAAGTGTGTCTGGGGAAATGGCTTTGTTTAATCTCAAAAAAAACAAGCAGAAAAAATGACTGGTATATTGAATTCCAAATACACAGCAGCTAATGTTAGTGATACAGTGATGAAAAAAATATTTTAAGTGTCGTTGTTGTGGTTAAAGATAAAAACCTAACTGGGCACCAAATATGGCATATTAAATCTATTATATTTCATAAACCAATTTACTGTTTGTAAAGAAAACTTCGTTTCTGTTGGAGATGTACTGGGTGCAGAAATTTCGCGTAGAGAATGTGCAAGAATGTCATCAATTTCTAGAGGCCAAGGCTACAGTCGATGCTGCTGCAAAATTGGTTGCAAATCTAATAGATGCAAATGCTACAAAGAAAAAAATTATGTAATTCCAAATGTCATCAAAATCTTAATTGCTCAAATAAATAAATTAAAAAACGTTTAATTTTTTATCTAATTTATACCAAAAATGAAATTTCAGAAGCTTCCTGTAAGTTGATTTTTTGTTTGAAGTATAAATTTGTTAATAATACTTTTTGTTAATATTAGTTTAATTAATACAGTTAATAGTACTTTTAAAAGATTGCATGTTGTTTTCAAAATACTTTAAAATTATTCACAAAAAATAAATAATTCTAAATGAAAAAAGTGGAGTATTTTTTAATCAAATTGTCCAAAGGGAATGTGGCTTTATTCATAATGTCTGTTCAATTTAATGAATTAATCAATATTTATCAAACTGTGCACCCATTTTAGTCATTATTCATAATGGCTGGGCATTATGAATAATGCCCTATTAATCACTTGGTCCATAACATGTACAGTTGACCCCCCATAACACAGGTTCCTATAGTTTGGATTCCTATATCATGGCGAAAAAATTGCGACAGTATTCGTAGAAACATGCTAAAAAAACTCATATAATTCAGTAAAACGTCATCGCCGACTTGTGTTGCGACACGATTGCACAAACCGTTGAGTTTAAACGAGCAGCGGACCTACCAAAAACCATTTATTATTTAATGTCCATAAAAATTATATTTATATTAATGATGTCTCCAAAGTTCAGTGAATTTTTCGCAAAAAAAATAATTTATCAGGAAGCACACGAGTGCCATTCGATGACAATCTCCACAACGAAAACAAGCTTAAGCAATGGCGTAGTCGAACGGTGCATGCTCAGTAAGTAATCCTACAATTTTTTGTTTATAGCATAGTTTATATGGATTATTCCCAAAAAATTATACGTATTTCGGAAATGTTGAGTCGAATTAGTCTAGAATCGATTAATTTTATGGAAGAAACCTTTCAAACAGCCGTANGTGTTATAATAACCCAGTTGTTAGAATAACCCTTTTCATTTAAAGAAAACAGAGTTAGCTGTTCTTTTTAAATGAAAAAAATAATCGGGTTCAAAGGTTTTATCGGAATTAACTTTCTTCGTGTAAACGTAATTTGCTGTTACTGTTGGTGCTGAAATACCGGAAGCATTAACAATTAAAGAGAGTTTCTTAAAGTTTGTGGCTTTAAATGATTCAAGTACTATACATAGGAGCGTTACCATTATACATCTCAAAGATTTTAGGTATGATTATTAATTTTATACGAAGGTAGAGTTACGATGGCTCATCAGTTATGAGGATGTATGAGCAGGCGTGCAGAACGGATATTGATACTGTCAACAATTTACCCGTGCCATATACAGTATATATTATGCACCCCATAACCTTAATTTCATAATAAATAACGAAGTTAAATGTCACGTAGATGCACCCACATTTTCAAAAACTATTGAAAAAATGTATACATTAGCATTATTTGCAGAAAGTATTTTAAATATCTCATTCTTAAGAAGTTACGTCAAACACATTAGACAGCAAAATTAGCTGTTATATGAGCAGTTAGACATGTGCACAGAGATCCTGGGCATTGTTTATGAAGTAGTCTAATTTATATCGGCTGTAGGGAAAGAGAAAATTGATGCACTTGGGTTAAAATTAAGAATAGAGCATTTTAACTTTGTTGTTTTTATAATACTTCAGAAAAGACTGCTATTGCTATAAATAAAGCATCCTCTGAGCTATATTTTCCAAGTAAAGATTTACTTGTTATTTATGGCATGTAATGATCTCTCTTATTCGAGACCCATGGGGAAAAAGCGTGTTATCTACAGAAAAGGAAATGGCAAAATCGTGAGGAGGTATATGTTTTGGTGAAAAGAGAAACGAAAGCAGTAAAATTCTTTAATAAATTACCTCCATATTTACGTTTAGAAGATCCGGAGATCTCATTTA